AAAAAAAAAAAAAAAAAAAAAAAAAAAAAAAAAAGGGACTGCGATCCAAGACTCAATGAATTTTGGACAATTTATAATAAAATCTAGACTTCTAAAAAATTTATCGGTTAATTTTTAACGAAATTAATAGATATTTTTGATAATATTATAGAATTAAAATTTTTAAAATAATAATTTTTTTTCAAAAATACATATATAATAGTTAACATTTACGTATTGAAAAGTAAATTAATTTTATAAGGTCATCTAAGCTCGAATTACTGTAACTTACTGACTTTTTAATAAAGAAGTTATAATCATACAAATAATAATTTTTTTATTGATTAACCGTTAAAAATTAATTTATATTAGTAGTGCATTCTCATCAATTTTTTTCGAATAATTTTAATATATATTTATCATGTTAAAATAAACTTTAATGACCAATGAGGTCAATTTCAATTAGTTGAATAGGATACACAAGTTATCATAAAATGCTTTTGTACTGGCTCTGATAAAAAAAAAATTCAAAGAAGAAATTGAATTTTAGATTTGGGATTTAGTCTAGGCACTTGATATGTGTACGTTGTTGTTTAATCATAAATTATTATGTATGAAAAATTTATTTATTTTCATAATAATTATTTTAAAAAATTATTTATTATAATTTATAATTGATTGAATAATGAGTCAAGGAAAAATGATTGAGTAAAATAATTTACCGTCACAATTGGTAGAAACTATATGATTTTAATAATTATCTCAAGGTTTACTACTTGATTTAAACAGACAATCATGTTGGAAAATTTATGGATGGATTGGAATATAAAGAGACAATTAATTTGTTGTATAACGAGTCAGGGCCCAGGATGGGATAAGTGGGCCGCGCCTACCAATATTGGTCCAAGTGAAGTGGATTACCCAATATGGCTATCTATTTGGATCCAAGAAAAGTGTCATCAATTTTTGTGTTCAATTTTAATGACCAAAAAAGGAAATCCAGCCCATGAATTCTCAACTTCGCTTCATCTAGACGTGAGGAGTTTTCTTTCATCACCCAAAAAATGCAGGAGGATTTTTACAATAATTAACAAACACCGGTATTTTAACGAATTCAATGTGCATAATAGATATTTATTTTATATAACTATAATTTATAAAGAAACATATAGTATTAAAAAAAAAAAAGTTGCTGGTTTAGTCATCCAATGGATTAATTGAGTATAATGAAAAAAGAAAAGAAAAGAGAATATGGGAGTATAAATGGTTTCACAGTGAAAATTAACTAGTGCAGTATATTTTAAGAAAATAGGTTAAGAGACTAACTCAATCTTACAAAATTGGTTTGTAAGATGAAGAGGATTACTCTCCACTTATATAATACATTATCATGGCCTAGTTAAACATAAAAATTATAAGAATGAACATCTACGGTTGGTTTAATAATGGCTTGATAGTGGGTCCAATATGACGAGATAGTGGATGGTACAATAGGTCTAATAACAATTAATAATTGTTAAAATATAGGCTCTAATATCATCTTAAAAAGTGGTTTGAAACCTAACTTAATCTTACAAAATCGGTTTATAAGATAAAGATTATTTCTCACTTATATGCACTATTAAAGCCTTATTTATAGACAATGTAGGATTTTCAACGAACTATCCCTTCACACCAGGGACTACATATCTCAGGACATCTTGAACATGAAGTTTGTAGGATTGGATATATGTCGGTGGCTTGATAAACTCACTAATAATCGATAATCGCTAGGATGTAGACTATGATACTATTTAAAAATAGTGAATTTAAGCTTAATTTATCATTATAAAACTAGTTTGTGAGGTGACAATTGTTTCTAATTTATATATACTATTATTAATTTTTTTTAGTCAATACAAAATTTTCAATACATTCCTCTCATACCAAGAAGTGAATATTTGTAAGTAGTTCCATAACGAATCACAATAGGTCCAACAACAATTAATAATTGTTAGAATATGAACTCTAGTATACTCTAACTTAAAAAAATAATTAAAATTTTAACTTAACCTTATAAAATTAGTTCTATGTAAGGATTATTCTTCACTCATATATATTATTCTAATCTTATTTTTAGTAGACATAAATTTATATTTCATTTTGTACCTATGGCTTCATCTGGATTCTTTATTTTATGTGGGACGAGGCTTCACCTAGTTTAGGTTAAGGAGTATGGACACAAACTTTATTTTTCTCGTACCATAAATAACGATACCATATTAATGTGTATGATTTTGGCTACAATATATCCAAAGATGGCCTTAATTAGATAGGTTTATGGGCAGAGTCAGCTTCAAAGACTCACCCATCCTTTGAATTCGTGATTCTGCGGCAAATCATCACCTCATCACATCACCAACTGTGGTCTTCATTCTCTGTCCCAATAAAAATCCTTACTCAAATCACAATCATGCACCATTCCTTATGTCACATATTTGCCTCTTTTTTACATCTCTAGTGGCGTAATCCTTGATTAAAATAGTTAACACATAATTTACTTTGTGATGAAACATAACAAATTATTGAATTATTAAAAGGTTAATAATTATTTTTCTATATATATATACACATATATATAATTATTTTTTAAGTTATGTTTTACTTAAATTAAATAAAAATAATATAAAAAAAATCAAGTATGACAGGTTTCATAATTTAAGTGATATGCACATCACTTATCTTAATCCTTTACTATTCTACTTTAGAAGATCTGCATTCAATTAGTTGTTATCTTACATGCAGTAATTAGTGGAGGAAATAAGTAATATACAATAAAATTGTATGAAAACTTTAACTACAACATTTCTGGATAAACGCAAAAATTGTTAGCGGATAAACATGCATGTATCATTATTATAAAATTGGGGTAATATTTTTTTTCTTTTCATGCATATGGCTCATAAAGTATTTAATAATCGATAATTTTATAGAATGTAACTTTTATTGATCTCAAATATAAGTTTTGGTAATTGGACATAATGCAGTTGATAAATATAAAAGTGTCTTCTACATTCTTAATGTACAATATCAATAAAAGGTATTATGTTTTGGCTTCAAGATAACTGCTTCATTATTTCAAAAGACAATTATTAAAATCTTTAAATTTATCATAAATAATGTTGTCATCTAGATTGATAAAATCAATCTAAAAGCACTATATTTTATCCTTGAAACTTGTTATCATCACTTTAATATTTTCCGTCAATTAAAAAATATTTTCACGGATGTATATATGTACAATTAATAATTCTCTACCTCTAAATTTGGAGCTCATGTAATAATAATTTATTCATCAATAAAAGAAAAATAAAAAATAAAAAATATTTTTATTCCTCTATTTTAAAATAAAAGATATTTAATTTTTTATTTTTAAAAATATAAAATATTTATATTATTATTAATTTAATATTTATTAATCATTAAATATAACGTCTATCGATGACATAATATATAAAGATGAAAATTAAAAAATAACATACAAAGATTTATTTATTTGTATATATTTTAACATGTAATAATTATTTATTTTAATAATAAATTTTATTTATATATTTTATTTTATTATTTTAAATATTAATTATTAAATATTAGATTATTTAAATATAAATAAATTTAAATTTTAATAATTAATAAATATTAATTTGACTGGAGGATGAAAATTTTTATTTTTAAAAGGAAAGAGATTAAACATTTTTATTTTAAAATAAAAAAATTAAACTATCACCGTCACGTTCCAGTTTTCTACTTTTCTCTCAAACCTCATTGTATGAAATCTAGATCCGCCCCATCTAACTATCTCCCATATGAATCAAGAATGCAGAGCAAAATCCTCATATCTGAGAAAAAGATTTAAAACGTATAACAAAATGTAAGAAAAATAGTTCCATCGAGAAATGTTCCTGACATCATTTATTTTAATAATACAAAACTGATTATATCAGATTTTTTTTTATAAGAGAGTGGTTTTCTTGACACGCAATGATGATTATTTTGATAATAACTTGTTGAAAGCACAAGTTGTCGTGAATTTGACCAATTAAAAAGGTTAGAACCAGAAAATAAATGTGGAAAGAGAAAAACAGTGATACTCTGATAAAAGAAGTTAATAATTTTATATTTGGAAAAGTTAGGAGTTGATTGTGCGAAAAGTGTCCACGTAGGATTTGCAGAGAAGCAAGGAGAGAGTGTGTGTGTGTGTGCATAAAGCCGTAAACAAAACAAGAGCGTTTCAATTGGTGTCTCCCACAAACCACATAATATTAAGATCTGGGTTAACAAGTTCAATCTCCCAAGCACTGACCTTGTCTTCTGTCACAGACATGGGTGAAGTATGACTTCCACACTCAAATTCACATTCTCTCTTTCCCTTCACTTTACCTTTCTTCACAACTCGGCTGCTTCCAACTTTTTATTTCCCCTTTGTGTTGTTGTCTTCTTATTATGGCTGTGCGAAATGGTGATTTTTTTTTATTATATGAATTTGTAGGAAAAGAAGGAAGAAGAAAAGAAAGAAGAAGTCAAAGAGGAAAAGAAGGAGGAAGAGAAGAAGGATGAAAACAAGGAGGAGCCACCACCTGAGATAGTGCTCAAAGTTGACATGCATTGTGAGGCCTGTGCAAGGAAAGTTGCAAAAGCATTGAAAGGATTTCAAGGTTATTTCTCTTCACCTTTTTTAGTTACTTCACTTCTTCTAACTATGAAAATGAATTCACACATGCTGCTACTGTATATGGTTTAATTAGAGGGATCAACTAGTTTATCCACATGATTGCTTTTGAATTTCATAAAATAATGATGACATAAATTTGTATTGGACATGTACATTATTGATGTAGAAACAAAAGTTCATGCTTCATCCTTGGTTAACAAAGGTAATAAAGGTATTTAGGTGGTGGAGAGGATGGATGAAGTGGTGTTAACGTTTCTAATCTAATCTCTTTTGTGATACAGGAGTGGAAGAGGTGAGTGCTGATAGCAGGACAAGCAGAGTGGTAGTGAAAGGAAAAGCAGCAGACCCCATAAAGGTGTGTGAGAGGCTGCAAAAGAAAAGTGGCAAGAAAGTGGAGCTCATTTCACCGTTGCCAAAACCTCCCGAGGAGGAGAAAAAAGAAGAACAACAAACCAAAGAACCACCCAAAGAGGAGAAAAAAGATGAGGTAAATGTAAATCATTCTCCTCTAGCTTCTCTATCTATCTCTTTCAACGTTGTTACTTGTTGTGTTGAATGTAGATGCAATGAATATTATTCAGCAAATTAAAGTCAAAAGCAAAAGCATTCAGGAAGTGAGTCTGAAAGTTAGAAACAGCCAAGTCTGTCTTAGACTCTTAGTTATTTAAGTTGGAGATTAAGAGGGTTGTTGTGTTTTAGCAATGTGCTGACATGAATTGAAAGTAACGAAACAAAGTGATGTCCGTCCGAAAGGCACACGTAACGAGGTGAACGGCGGTGGTGACAAATGAGAGGGTTTGACCCCACTCCTTTTTGCAAATTGCAACTTGACATGCTGCAAAATGGGGTCACGGGTGCAGACCACCTGCATTTACCGTGTCCCACTTTCATAACCATGTGACGTATTGTATATATCTATATGGAGGTTAAAACTTCAAAGTTAAAACAACGGCCTCTCTCCATTCCAATGGATGAGATTGCCAAGTAAGAGTAACTAGTCTGCTGTTAATGTAATAAATTATTCACAATACAATGTTGGGTTAATACATATAACTTGTACATATACATTAGTTTTATGCTGGAATTTTCAAATTAAAGTGGGTCCGGGGATTGGCCTTAGGTTGCTCTTTCGTTTTGGACAAATTATAAGATAGTGGAAGTTGGAAACCCCATGCCATGGCCCGTACCTGAATTGACAAATTATAAGATAGTGGGACCTCTGTTTGACAAGTGACAGCAAGGCTTAAACATACATTGTACATATAAAATTCGAGAGAAGATCTATTAATGTTTTTTATACTGATGAATGTTTGTTGTGTTTCTCTACAGAGGTTTAAGTCTTAAGTAATAATGCTTCGATCTAATTGACACATATTGTCTTGGTTAAGTAAAATGATGAATGTGATGGGACCAAAGCTATTTTGATAGTAATCTAATTCCTATATTGTGGTTGTTTGAAATGGTGGTCAGCCTCCTCCGGTGGTAACAGTTGTTCTGAAAGTTGGAATGCATTGTGAAGCATGTGCTCAGGTTATACAGAAGCGAATCCGTAAGATTAAAGGTACAAAGATTCATTCTACCTTTGTCTATTGCCCATGCCTACTATTTCACTCGTGCACAAGCAAGTACAATTCATTATATATGATCATCATTACTAATCGCTAATCACTATACGAGAATCCCATTCCCAGGCCCT